AGAAAATGAGACTGAACATGTTTAGACTTCTCTCCTGTATGAGTGGTAGCCCAACAGGTGTGTGAGAATGTGTCGATGGACATGAAAATATACTTAAGCTTTCCAAAAGGAGCATAGTGTGTGACATCTGTCTGCCACAAGGAATTGGGCTTGAGTCCCCTGGGGCTCACCCCTGGCTGTTGCAGAGGTGGTACCTGTACACAATAAGCCATCTTGTCTGCCTCTGCATTGCTTTGGGATAAAAGCCCAGGCAATCCTTGGTGCCCCCTAAGATGCTGTAAGAAGATAGGGGCTTTTCTCTCTTTAAGGGCTTTTCTTTCTTTAGGGAGTCTGAATATTGTAAGGACTCCCTTGGCCTGGGATTCGGCAAGTGCAGCTGCTGCAGGGGCTGCAGCACTCAGGGCCGGGGTGGTTCCCTGGCCACCCGCTGAATTGAGGGGGCGGGGCCCCTCCCCAGCCACCTTCGGCTAGGCTTTCATGCGAGCCCCTGACCCACACCAGTCACACGCGGGCCCCTGACTCACCCACGCATTAGTTCAAGGTGGGTGGGGTGGGCAGCTTTGGCCTCCAACCCCGTGTGCCCTGCTCCGCCCCGCCCTTTTGCCCGGGAGGCTCTGAAGCTGGCCAGGGCATGCCCGAGGTGCCGCTTTGGCTGCTTTGGGGTTCACTTCTGTTGCATTTCTGCCTTCTTCCTCAAACTCTTCCCCTGATTCCCATGTATCCCCAGTAAAAACATTAGCCCCAAGTAGCCAGGGAGCCAAATGAATCACCTCTGCCCAAACCTTTTGAGCTACTGGATCTGACAAATCTAATCCCCTGCTTTTAAGTATATCTCTCAGCGCTTTAAGCACCGGGTCCTCAAGCTTATTAATTTCATTACCCATATTTCGGGTCTTGCTTACCCTGAACTTCTGATTGGCCCCAATCCTTTTTTTCTTTTTCTTTTCTTTTCACCTTCGAGCACCATGCTGGGCACCAGATCCTAGGGGTTCGAACCAGCGACCCCCACAGAGTGATGATTGGGGATGAGTAAGCACACCATTCACCAGCCCACTCCGCCCCCAGCACCAGGAACAATCAGATGCAACGGGGAGTCTAGTCAAGCAGGGACTCATTTATTACAGGTGTTACAAAGCTTATAAAGGCACCTGGAAATCCCCCCCCTCCCCGGGGGGTGTATCTTAAGGATGGTCATGCGCTGATCATGCACTCCTCAGCAGAAGTATTCTTCAGACTTTCAAGCAAGCCAGGCCGCATCCCCAGTAACTTCCTTTTGGATCTATGCAAGAAGGGGCCTTTAGGTCCCCACAAGCTCCCACCAGCCAGGGCTCCCACAGCAGGCAGGACATCTGTCACCCATTCTCAGAACTGAGTTACTGAGCTCCTCAGAAGAGGGTCAGGCTGTCTACTGAATGTCCAATCCCCAACATGACCCCCCCCACACACACCAATGTTGGAAGGCTGGTGGGTGCTGGGGACAGACTCACACAGAATACAGTAAAGCAGTGAGACCCTCCAATCTGTGAGAAGGAAGAGGCTCTTCTAGAAGACCAGCCCCACCTGCTGCCTCCTCAGCCTGCAGCTCGAAGGGGTATGAGTTGTGGGCATGTTGTATAGGAGCCTCAGTTTCTTCCTCTGTAAAGTGGGCCAGAACTGTAGCCACACAGAGGTCTAGGAGCCCATTAGGAACTCTGAGTCCCTTACTAACAACCACAGCACATTCCTGGGCCCTTTGGCCTGTAGCTGTTCTCTGCACAGAACCCAGATCATATCAGGCTGCCTGCAGGCCTGGTTTCCAAGAATCCAGCAGAGCCAGGGGACTGTACAGCCCAGCCTGTGGTGCCAGGCAACTGCACCCCTAAACTCAACTTTGTTTAGAGGCCACATGGATGAGACTGCAGAGGCCAAGGGGCCTGGGATGGGCTCTAACTGCAGGTGAGTCTGACACACAGCTGGGAGTGGGGATCCATGGCAACAAGCAGGGAAGGTATGGCAGCAGGAGCAGGAAGCAGGCTGATCACATTACAGCCACACTTAGGAAGGAGAAAATAAACTGCAAGTGGGGTGAGGCTATAACCCTCAAAGCCCACTCCCCAATGACCTGCTCTCAGCAAGGCTTCTCCTGAGGGTTCCACAAACTTCCCAAACAGCACCACCACCTGGGGACCAAGTGTTCAAACACAGGAGCCTGTGGGGGACATTTTACATTTGAACCACAGGCTAATTGTTTCAAGTTCTTCTGAAAGTTAGCATACTTTTTTTTTTTATTTTTTGAGACAGAGTCTCATTGTGTAGCCCTGGTGGCTTGCTAAGGAGCTATGGTAGAACTTGCTTTGTAGACCTCTGCCTTCAAAGTACTGGGATTAAAGAGTATGCCACTACCCCCAGCTAGCATATTTTAAAAATAAAATACATGCCAGGTGTGGTGGCACACACCTTTAAACCCAGCACTTGGGAGGCTGAGGCAGGCGGATCTCTGTGAGTTCAAGGCCAGCCTGGTCTACATAGTGAGTTCCAGGACAGCTGGGGCTACAGGGAGACTCTGTCTCAAAAAGACAAAAAAAAATAATAAAATAAAATACATACACAGTCATCCCTCCATATCCATGGATTCTGCACCTGTGGATCAAAAATATTTTTATTTACATCTGTACTGAAGATGTATAGACTGTTTTTCTTGTCACCGTTCTCTAAACAATAGAGCATAGCAGCCATATGCGTAGCATTTACATTGTGCCAGGTGTCAGAAGGAACCCAGAGGTGGTTTAAAGTATGCAGGAGGAGGTACAACAGTCACATGCAAACAGCATGTCATCTTATATAAGGGACTTGAGCATCTGTGGATTTGGATGTCTTGATTGGGGGGATGAAGGGATCCTAGAACCAATCCCCTGTGGATACTACAAGGTGATTTTATTGAAAATTACATTAAAGAGGCTGGAGAGATGGCTTATCAGTTAATAGCACTGACTGCTCTTGCAGAGGACCCAGGTTTGATTCCCAGCACCCACATGGTGGCTAACAACCATCTATAACTTCAATTCCAGAGGATCTGATGCCCTTTTCCGGACTTCAAGAGCATTGCATGATGTGTACACTTACATACCTGCAAGCAAAACACTCATAGACAAAAAATAAAAATAAATATATAAAATGGCATTAAAAAGAATTTCAAGCTTAGCTCAGTGGGTGAAAACACTTGCTGCCAAGCGTGATGGACCTGAGTTTGATTCCTAGGTCCCACATACAGAAGGGGAGAACTGACTCCTACAAGTTGTCCAATGACTTCCACATGTGTGCCAAGGCACATGTGCTTCTGCACACACACACTGCTTGAATAAACAGTGATTTTAAAACTTAATTTACTTGGAGCTGGAGAAATGGCACAGCAGTTAGGAGCATGTGCTGCTCTTGCAGAGGATCCAAGTTTGGTTCCCAGCACTTGTGCCAGGAAGCTCACAACTGCCTGCAATTCCAGTTCCAGGGGATCCAGCACCCTCTTATGGCTTCCAAGGTCACCTGCACACGTGTGACATACACTCACATAGAGACATACACACAATTTTTTAAAATGGGGGTCTAGAGAGGTGGCTTAGTTTAAGAGCTATACTCCTCTTGAAGAGGACCCAAGATCAGTTCCCAGCATCAGGAAGCTCACTACAGCCTATAACTCCAGTTCAGGGCAATATGACACCTCTGGCCTCCACAGGCACCTGCATGTACATGCACATACACACATGAAGGCACATACACATAATTTAAAATAATAAAATCTTTGAAAATAAATCTTTCCAAAAAAATATTTAAATAAATTTGCTGAACTGTATTTGCATCATCCTATAAATCAACAAGCATGCATCACTTGCCAAAAGAGGAAAACTACAGAAATAAATTCAAATAAAGCCATGTTCATGCTGCATGTAGTCAAAGACTGTAGACCAATAGCTGCCACTCCTGGGGGTGGGGAGGTGGGCATTGGAGAGCCTGAGGTGACGGGTGCTGATGATTCCCCAGATGAAATGAGGAGGTGACAGGTCATTCTTGGAGAACACCCAGGGTCCTTCCAAGGTGCCGCCCAGGGTTCCTCCTCAAATCCACAAGGTCAGTTGGGGGGCAGGGAAGACAGTGGGATGAGAGAGGCTTCACCAGGTCAAGTCCATTCACCTTCACTCCATTTTGTGTCTTTGTGAACCTGGTAGAAATTTCTGGAACTGGCCAAACAGGTTGGAGAGTTCATCACATGGAAACAAGTGGACTGTCCTTTTGAGCAAGACTCCAGCATCACCCACTACCTGTACACTGCCCCCATCTTCAGTGAGGACGGTAAGGTGGTCCCTTAGTCTCCATGCAGGGACACCCCTCCACATACTGTGGGCAGGGATGCACCACATCTACCTTTGCTGGACCCAGGAGCAGAGACACCTCATTCCTATCTGGCCAACAGACAGTTGCCACCTAAGGAGCCCAAAACCAGCTCAAGGGGTTATAGGCTAGAACCTCACTGACTCCCCAGGCCAGATTCCTCCTTGGACACAGTGGGGACACTGTAAATGCCAGGTATTCTAAATCTGAACTGTCTGTCCATCTGTCGTAAGCCTGCTGTGCTATGCCACAGACACAGATGACATGGTATGTCTTCCCACAATGTCACAATTTTATACAACATGGAGTAACTTAGAGGAGGGCATAGCCTGATCTCTACACCATCCTACACCATTTTCCTCATTAATAAGATGGGAATAAGGGTAAGAACTGAGCTTCACCTGGGGATAGCAGCGCACATCTGATACATACTGGCATGAGGCATTAAATTGAGATTATTGAACCTAGGGCCTCACACATCACTAGGCAAGCACTCTACCATTGAGCTACATCCCCAGGCCTCTTCTGACTTTTTATTTTGGGAGTGCTGTACTACATTGCCCAAGTCTTGACCTTGTTGATCCTCCCTCCCTTGCCTCCAGAGTGGCTGGGATCACAGGCCTGTCACCCAGTATGACTCATTCAATACATTGTTTTAAAATGCAGTGCTTTTACCTTCCAGAGGTTTATTGGGATATGAATCCTGTCATAACTCAAGGAACACTTATGCAGACAGAAAGGTTTTGGCAGGAAAGGTTTGGTTTTACTTTTTGTTATTTGGGAATTTTTGTTTCATTTTCTTGTCACAGGGTCTTGCTATGTAGCTCAGGTTGGCCTGGAACTTACTATGTAGCCCAGACTAACCTCAAATTCACATTCTTTCTCCCTAGTCTCCCCAGTGTTGGGATCACAAGCACACACTAGCATGTTGACTGATAAAGAGTTTGCTGTAAACCAAATAATGTCAACATTATATGACCCAGAAATTGCACTCTTGGGCATTTATTTATTTTTAATATTATTTTTATTCAATGGGTATGAGTGTATTGCCTGCATGTATGTAAGTGCACCCATGTTGCACAATGTCCATAGAGGTCAGAAGATGGTGTCAGATCTCCTGGAACTGGAGCTACAGAAGGTTATTAGCCACCATATAGGTGCTAGGAACCAAACCCAGGTCCTCTGTAAGAGCAGCCAGGGCCCTTAACCACCAAACCATCTCTCCAGTCCCACATTTACTTATCTTAGACAAGTGAATGTCTAGGCTCACACAAAAACAAAAATCTGTATGAGTGTGTTACTAAAATTCCTTCTGGGAGGAGTAAACAACATCTGGCCCCTCCTCTTTCTGTCCTTACAACAAACCGAGGTTTAACTTCTCCAAACTGCAGTTTGGGAAACCAGAGTTTATTAGGCTTACTTGCAGAGTGGTGGGTGAGGGTTTATTTACAGGAGTGTGGGTGGTTACCCGGCTCCCCCAAAGGCCACACTGGAAAGTCTCCATTCAGGTGCGGGTGACTTTCCAGCAGCCATCCAAAATGGTGAGAGCAAGTTCCCCTCCTGGTTCCTCTGTTCAGGTGGCCTTAGTCCCTCCGGGTTGTGGCTGGTTGGTTGGGAGGTGTGGCTGACTCTGCTTGCCCCTCCTTTCTTGTGGAGTGTTCGGGAGTCAATAAGTTTGGCTGTGAGGATCTTAGACGAGCAGGTGCAACCAAGCTTGGAAAGAGGACATCTGATGTCCATGGTCTGTCTTTCGGAGAATAGTTCTATGCTACATAGTGTTTATAACAGTTTTATTTGATACAGTCACAAGCTCAAAACAACCTGTATCTGTCAGTGGGTAGATAGTTAAACAAGCTATGAGACACCCTTATAATGTATTTTTCAGATGTAAACAGAAACCACTGATACATGCCACTCCATGGACAAGTCTCTAGTCCCAAAAAGTTATATGCTATATGACTCTATTTATATAATATTCTCAAAAGGATTGAAGTTAGAAATAAGAGCAGACCAGTTACTGTCAGGAGTTAAGGAAAAGGGGAGGGGCTGTGATGTGGCTTGGCAGTAGAATGTTTGCTGAGCATGCATGAGGCCCTAGGTTCAATCAATCTGCAGCATGGGGGGAGGAAGGGAGGGAGAGAGGGAAAGGGAGGGAGGGAGAGAGAGAGAAGGGGAAAGAGAGGAGCAGGGAGGAAGAGGAAGGAGAAGGGCAGGGAGGGGGGTAGGGGAGGGGAGGGGAGGAGAGGGGAGGGGAGAGGAGGGAAAAAGAAAAGGGTGTGGGATGAAGGCAGTGGCCATGGCTCTAAAATGGCAGCATGGGGGATCTTTTTGCACATGGATACTATAGGGGGAATCTGAGTAAAGTCAGTCACAAAATCTCTACGTGTTAGTCTTTCCCTAACTGCCTGTGAACACTAATCTCTAAATGAAAAGTTTCATTTGAAAACAAAAGGCAGGTCAAGTCAGGTCAGCAACAGGTTATCACCCACTGTAATTTCATAAGTTCACTTCCTTTTTGGTATAGGTCTTTATTTGGCTTCCTATGAAAGTGAGAGCCCAGAAAACCAAACAGAAAAAGAGAGGTGGAAATCGCTAAGGTGAGTCTGCATGCTAGGATAGAAGGGAGAGGGCTTAAGGCTGAGGAATTTGCAAGAGGTCTGATTATCAGCCTTCTTCCCATGAGGAGAGAACAGAAACAAGCCAGGATCAAAGGGATGAGAGCAGAACTCAGGGGCTGTCGATAAGGCGAGGCAACTGAGCCAATGACCATTCGTGCCTGGTTACATATCTGTGGATGGCCAAGATGCATGTTCCAGGACCAGAAACTCCCAGTCCATATTTTTGTGCTAAAAAATAAAACACACACACACACACACACACACACACACGCATGCACACACACACACACACCATCGCCATCTCCCTGTTCAGCATGTTGACATAGCCAAGCGTAGGTCAGAAATGATGAAGCAAATATGCCAGGTGTGGTAGCACATGCCTTTAATCCCAGCCCTCAGGAGGCAGAGGCAGGTGGATCTCTGTGAGTTCAAGGCCAGCCTGGTCCATAGTGACTTCCAGGTGGGCTGGGACTATGGAGACCCTGTCAGTAAAAAAAAAAAAAAAAAAAAAAAAAAAAGAAAGAAATGATGAAGCAACAGACTCAGAAGATTGAGCCAAAAAGATCTACCAAACCTTACTCTGGCTGTGCTGAGATGGCCTATGCTGGGAGCAGTCCAAAGGCAAGGCAGGGAACTCACCACTCTGGTGCCTTTAAACCTGCAGATCTTCTATTCTGGGGAAGACATGAGAAGCCCTGAGCTGGAGGAGGAGGAAGTGATGGAGCCGACAGAAGCCATCCACAGCCCTGCCTCAGACGGTCCAGGGGGTGAAGGCAGATGCAGAGCGTCACTACTTTGAAAACCTGACCCTGGAACCTGGCACCTGGCACAATGACCTCATGGGCACAGGAACCCTTTTGTGAGGCCTCAGCCCTGGATGACCCGGCAGAGCCTCCAAGAGTGCGGGTGACCCCTGATAAGGCAAAACTTTGCCTTCTTGACCAAGTGGGCCACATGGTCAGTCTGTCCATCCTGGACAGGGACACAAAGCTACCCCAGAGGATTGGGCAACTGTGGTCATGTGATCTTGTTGAGTGACGTGTGGTGGAGATTAACACAGCGGTCTGTCACTGGTAGCTTGGGAGCCTCTGTAACTGCAGTAGGCGTCATGGCACCACTTGAGATGTGCCTGTGCCAGCTCGGAGTCCATCATGGCCCCTGCTCTTCTGCTGACAGACACCTGTCCTGCCCCTCCCAATGGACTTGTTTCTGCAGCCCCAGTCACCCAACCCCTTCTGAATCCTGCTGGTATCAGGATAGCCTTCTGGTGACAGCTGTGGAACAGGTCAGTGGGACAAACTGAAATCAGCAATTCAGCAATGTGTATATTACAACCTGCTGCCTAGCTCCCCTGTAAACTTTAGAGTCAGAGTAAACACATGTTTGTACATCCATCCTGAATATGCATGTCCATAGTGTGTCTTTGATCCTTGGGCCTAAGAGGAGTTTCAACAGGATACAATGGGGATTCCCATCTCAGTCCTGGGAGTGTAGTAATACACTTTAAGAGTGGCATGTGGGGCTGGAGCAATGGTTCATTCAGAAAAATGCAAAGATGATGACCTGAGTTCAGATCCCCAGTACCACATAAAAGCCAGGTGTGGCAGAGATCTCTGTAGCCCTAAGCCTGAGTGGACTGCAATAAACAGGTCCCTGGAGCACACTGGCCAGCTAGCTTAGCCAACTGATGAGTTCCAAGTTCAGTGAGAGACCTCGTCTCAAACAATAAGGGAAGAGCAAGGAAAGCAGCCAGCATAAACCCCTGATTTCCACATGTGTGTGCACATTCACATGCATGTGCACACACACACATAGACTATATACACATCCAATCCACATACCCCATATCAAGCTCAGTAAAGGTGCTCAGTAAACTCTAGTTACCAGATACCAGCTGCCCTGCATTGTACCAAACACCGCTTGTGTATTATGGGATGTGAAGAAGCCAATGAAGAACACACTGAGGCTCCACCTGTGGCCCCCACCCAGTCTCTGTATGTCAAGCCCCTCACACACTGAGCCAGGAAGCAAATGGAGTGTGGAGCGGCTCAAGCCCTACCTGACATGTGGCAAAGTCACCTGACCAGAAAGTCAAAGAAGGCAATGTGCACCCACTTTCCTTGGGGTTAGGGTCTACTAGGTGGGAAGAAGAGTGGAAAATTAGGTGTTTGGGTATACTGACTTACTCTGACTAGCTCCTGCCCACATCAGGCCTCTTAGAGGCTTGGACCAGATCAGAACTAGACTTGGCTTTAATGGCCTTGGGGTCCATCTGGGATACAGGCAGAGAAAAGATGGCTAGCACCCTGGGTACCTTATCAGCACAAGAAATAAGAAATTCTCTTTTTTTTTTCTTTTGAGATGGCTGACTTTTCATTTTTTTATTTGTATTTTATGTGTATGAGTGTTTTACCTACATGTATGTAAATGCATCCATGTGTATAATGCTCACAGAGACCAGAAGAGGGCATTGGGTTTCCTGGAACTGGAGTTACAGATGGTTGTTAGCCACCACATGGTGCTAGGAACCAAACACAGGTCCTCTACAAGAGCAGCCAGTGCTCTTAACCACTGAGCCATCTCTCCAGCCTCATAGCACAGGAAATTCTGTCTGCATAACAAAGGCCCTCAGGAACAGAAGACCCCAGCATGCAGAGGTATGGGAACATAATGTGTTAGAGTTTAATGGAATCTGCTTGGCACCCAGACCACCCTGTTTCTTTACCTGAGATCCCAGAGAGGGCAAGTCATTCAGGGAGCATGGGCAGGACAGGAGCTCGGCTTCAGCCCAGACAGGCTCCCCACCCCTCTTCCCACCACATTCTACTCCCAGTTGGGCCTAGAAACCTTGGGGCAAACCTAAGGAGTCTTGGGAACTCCAGGAAATGGCTAGAACTGCTTCTCCATTCCCTCATCCCTATCTAAAGCTTTCCTTTGGACAACATCTGCAGGTATCAGCAGGCTCTGTCCCTGCCTGAAGAACCTCCCAAGAGGCCCCTCCTCTTAAAAGTTCCAGGGCATCTCCCAGTTCCACCTTCCTGAGGAACAAGCTTCCAATATGTGAACCTCTAGATGGAGACCCAGTAGACAAACCACAGTGGGGCGTTTCCAACAGCATTCCAAATATGTGAATGCTCAGTGGTTAAGAGCACTGACTACTCTTGCAGAGGACCCAGGTTCAATTCTCAGCACCCACATAGTAGCTAACAACTGTCCATAACTCCAGTTCCAGGAGAATTCAACACCTTTTTCTGACCTCCACGGACATTGCATGACACAGGTGCACTTATACATATGGAGACAATACACTCAGACATACAAAATAAAAATTAAAAAATATGTGACTGCTGTCTTTGGCTATGTCCCCTCTAGTGACTTATCTAACCATAATGCTTATATGCTTTTCTTCAGTGCTGTTTAAGAGGAAAAGATGAGACAACAGCCCAGTGTCTATAAATGGGAACCTAGAAAAGTCAGTCTCCACTGGGCACAACCTTGATGAGGATGTTTCGGGTACTGACAAGAAAAGGAGCCTCTGATCCCATGGTGGTTGTATCCATCCACACTCCCCCCAGCATGGCTCAGGAGTCCCTCACATAGCCATGCTAGCACTTGGTACCACTGAAATCAGGAAATAAAACCAAGGAAGATGAGGAGGTTTAGCAATCAGGTAACCCAACACAAAGGAACAGGAAGCCCTGGGGAGAGAGCAGGATGGCAGCAAGAGAGCCACTGGGGTGGACTGAGCTAGAAGGAAGGTGGGCTGCAGGAGAAGAATGGGAAGAGTGTGCTGGCAGGCGGGCCCCGTGACTAGCATGCCCTGGGAATGGAAATAAAGGAAAGGGGACACCAGGAACGGCAGCTTTTGTTCAACACCCTAAATTATTACAAGTAAGACTTTGATAAAAACTGAACTTTGCCAGACATGGTGGCGTACGCCTTTAATCCCAGCCCTCGGGAGGCAGAGGTAGGCAGATCTCTGTCAGTTCGAGGCCAGCCTGGTCTACGTAGTGAGTTCCAGGCCAGCTGGGGCTACAGGGAGACCCTGGCTCAAAAAGACCAAAAAAAACCCTGAACTTTAAAAATAATTATCCTGTTAAGCATAGTAGCATATGCCAAAAAGTTCCAGCACTCAGGAGGTAGAGGCAAGTGGATCGCTGAGTTTGAGGCCATCCTGGTATACAAAGTGAGTTCCAAGCCAGCCAGAGCAACATAGTGACACTCTATCTCAAAAAGACAAAAAAAGCACCTCTAAGCCGGCTATGGTAGTACATGCTTATGATCCCAGCACTCAGGAGGCTGGGCTACATGAGGATCCAGAGTCTAAGACCAGCCTGGGTTACATAGCAAGATATTATTATTATTGTTATTATTATTATTATTGTCTTTTTGTTGGTTTTTGATAGGGACTCCCTAGTCACAGACCACCTGAAAGTCATAATGTGAACCAGGGTGGCCTCGATCTCACAGAGATCCACCTGCCTCTGCCTCCCGATGGCTGGGATTAAAGGTGCACACCACCAAGTCTGGCAAGATCTTATATTTTTAAAAAATTTTTCTTTTTCAGTAATGGAGCTGAGGGGCAGCTCAGTGTTTCAGCATTTGCCTAACATATACAAGGCCCTGAGGTTAATCCATAACACTTCAAAAAATTGCAAAATTACAAAAATTTTAGATGGGAGATTGGATGAAATTACTAAAACTGAACCCTACACCAGTGTAAGGAGCCCTGTGGACAAACTCCTCCCTAGAGCAACTATATACTGTGAAAATAACTTTTTTGAAATTCTCTAGAAAGTGTCTTCAATAACAGAATGAAGAAAGTTTATTCAAAAAAATCTGGGCTGGGGAGATGGATCAGTGGGTAAAATGCTTGCTGTGCGAGCACAAGGACCTCAGTACAGATCCCCAGCACCTCTGTAAAAGCCGGCACAGCAGTGCACATCTGTAATCCCAGCTCTCGGGGCAGAGGTAGGCAGATTCCCAGGAGCTCTCTGGACAGTCAGCCTAACAAAAATGGCAAACTCCACGTTCAGTGAGAGACCCTGTCTCAAAACATAAAGTGGACAAGAACAGAAGAAAATGCCCGGTATTGATCTCTGGCCTCCGCACTCACATGAGCACTTGCATACAGACATTCACAGAGAGAGACAGAGGGAGCCTACTAAAATGGGCCTGTGGTGGGACAGTACATCACAGCAGAAATACACAGGAGACACAACCCGCAACTTGTTCACCCTGTTGCATCCCAGAAGCAAGAAAAGGAGATGAAGAAGCCAGAAGTTCCACTATATCCCCTTCAAGGGCATGTGTGACCCCAATGAGATAACTTCCCTCCAAATAGGTCCCATCTCCTAAAGGCTGTACCACCTCCAATAGCACCACAGGCTGGCGGCCAAGACTTTAACATAAGGACCTTTAGAGGATGTTGTGATTTGAACATGAAATGTCCCCACAGGCTCATGTGTATGAACACTTGGTCTCCAGCTGGTGGTGCTGTATTGGGATGTTGTGGAACCTTTAAGATGTGGAGCCTAACTGGAGAAAGTCAGTCATTGGTCATTGGGTTAGGGGTTGGGGGTAGGGGCAGAGGCTGGGAACCGAGGGCGGGGGGGTGGGGGGACCAGGTCCTCCCTCCACTCTCTACTTAGACATGAGCCACCCCAGGCACCATGACTGGCAGTAACCCCTCAAACTATGAACCAAAATAAATCCTCCTTCCTTGAAGATATGTCCCTCAGCTATGATAGCACAGTGACAAGAAATGTAGGTAATACAGGGGACATTCCTGATCCAAACCAGGGCAGAGCGTGAAAGACCAGGGAGCAGAGGAGGTGGCTGAGGCTGCAGAGGAATTAGTTTTCATCTTCTAGGTCCTCAGGATACGCACGTGCTCGAGCCCTTGGTCCTCAGATGGTGGTCCTTGTTTGGGAGGGTGTAGTACCTTTGGGACATACTGTAGCACAGCTAGCAAAAGTGGGTCCCTGGGGACAGGCCTTAAGGAGTGAGCTATTTTCTAATCTGCCAAGATGTAAGGGGCGATCGCCACAACCTTCCATGCCATGAGCTCCATCACATCTTCCTCACTATAATGAACTGAAACTATGAGCCAGAATAAATCTCTCAAGTCATTTCCGTTAGGTATTTTGTCATGGCTATAAGAAAAGTAATTTGGGGGTTGGAGAGATGGCTCTGCAGTTAGGAGCACTGGCTGCTCTTAAAGAGGACCTGAGTTCAATTCCCAGCACCTACATGGAGGCTAACAACCATCCAAAACTCCAGTTCCAGGAATCCAATGCCCTCTTCTGACCTCCCTGGGCATTGCACAACGTGGGTGCACTTATGTACATCCAGGCAATACACTCA